ATACGAGAATGGCAAGTTCAGCGCTTCAGGATCATTCGGATACACAGGCGCAAGCGGTGAGAGCGTTGACGTTTCCAAAGTTGTCATATTGGGACAAGAGAATGCAGGTCTTGCAACGGGCTCTTTTGACTCTACCAAGAACACCATTACCGTTGAGGGGCCGTGGAAGCTAGGCGGCTCGTTTGGCTTCCAAATCTAGATCTCCTTTTTGAAGACATGGGTTGGTTCACTGCATATGAGTGGCGTTTGGGTGCATTGGATGGTGTATTAGCATCTGAGTGGCGTCCTGGGTTTTCCCTCTGGGGATGTGTCGCTTAGGCACGACATTTTTGTCATTGATAATGCATCACTTTTCCCTTTGATTAAGAATCCTAGATAGAGGTCGATGGTTACACTTGTAACTGGTAAATAAATAATTACATTTTCATACCTACCTTTTGCCAGTCTGTAGTGAGATTCATCCAGCACACGCATCAAAAATTGCAAACATTCCTTTAGTTCCCTTTCCGCCTGGCTGCTGCTCCACAGGTACGTTTTTGTGCAGCCACATTCGGTGGTAACTAATACCAGCATAGTTCCAGCCCAGCTCTTCAAACACCTTCCTGCCCTCTGCATTCGAACCGAACACCTCAGCAATAAAAGTACCTTCGGATTTTTGAAAGTCGTTCATCAGCTTATGCAGTAGCTGTAAAGCTTGCGCATACGTTGCTGCATACAACGGGCCAATACGAACTCCCTCTTGACAGCGACGTGCGTATATGAAACCCGTGAGCTCACCATCATTAGAAATAGCGAAGCCAAACGCATGAGGGCGGGAAGTAAGGATACCAGTAGCCCAATATGCTGATCTATCAAGCCCTGTATGTTCGAGATCCAGCTTTGCCAGCAACTTGGGATCGACGTCTCGGAGGTCTTCTAATTCAACAGCACTCTCATCGCTCCAAGTCACGTCAATTGGTCTGTCCTGAAGTGACTCTCGTGTCATGAGTGGAATCCTCGCGTAATCCTCGAAACCACGCCGTCTATAAGTTTCAACTTGCTCTTCTACGCCATCAAGGCCAATGATAGTAGTGCCTGCGTCGCTGAATTTCAACTGCATCTCTTTCCATAATTCACGTCCTAGACCTTTGCCACGAAAGGCGGCGTTCATGATGAAGAAAGCAACCCAGCCTGTGCTGTTTGGGTAGATAAACGGTATCACCATACCTTGCGGTGTGTTTGTTGATTCTGGAACTATGAATAACCAATTCTTCCCATTGTGAGCTACTTCAAAATGCGTCTTTGCGTCGTCTACTGCTCGGTTCTAAAGTATCTATTAGTCCAAGTTATAGAGTTACAAAATGCGTGGATATACAAACCCAGCCTAACTCTTGCATCAAAGGCCACCAGAATGATTTGGCTTCTTCGACATTCTTTGCGGAGCGAACTGCATTTTTGGGTGTTGTGGAAGCCATAGCGATAATCAAGTTGTTCCTGTTGCGATCGCTTTTAGAAAGACTGGGAAGTCGCTATACAGTGAACTCAGTACGATGAATAGATTTAATGATGTAAAGTAGTGGGGGTCATTGCAAAGCAAATAAGCACTTGCAGGTTGATGCGAGACGAGGCATGACAATTGTTGCACCATACCGAAAGAGGCAATGATGCGAACTGTGACCAGCAGACGCAACAAGAATCAAAATCTAGATTTTTCTTCTTGTACTAATTATTCTCAGACAAATAAGCTGATTTGGCACGACGATTGACTAGACGAAGGCGTTCGTTCATCTCCAACAGGGGCTTGATCACTGTGACATTGTTAGGTCCTTGTATGACTCGTGTCTATTTGCACAAATGACTCATGCATTTATTCTTCGCAATCCCCCGCAACGCTCCACCATTCCTCCCTTACACTACACCAAAATGCCACCAACTCCGTGTGTGCTCTGCCACACAAATCGAGCCCTTATTCTCCGCCCCAAAGACCACTCCAAACTCTGCAAAACGTGCTTTATCAACGTCTTTGAAACCGAAATCCACCATACCATCACCTCCAATGCGCTCTTCACACGAGGCGAGAAAATCGCTATCGGTGCCTCGGGTGGCAAAGACAGCACTGTTTTAGCTAGCGTATTAAAAACGCTCAACGAGCGCTACGATTACGGCCTTAACCTGATACTACTATCTATCGATGAAGGCATTAAGGGCTACAGAGATGATAGTCTAGAGACGGTAAAGAGAAATGCAGAGCAGTATGGAATGGATTTAACCATTCTTGGGTACGATGAGTTGTATGGATGGACAATGGATCAAGTGGTAGAGCAAGTTGGAAAGAAGGGGAATTGCACATACTGTGGTGTGTTTCGACGTCAGGCGCTGGATCGTGGGGCGGCGAGACTGGGTGTAAAGCATGTGGTTACAGGGCACAATGCTGATGATGTTGCAGAGACGGTGTTGATGAACTGTAAGAATATGTGTAGCATTTGAGAAATGTTGCGTTAACAAGAGCAGTGTTGAGAGGCGACCTCCCCCGATTATCACGAACGACCTCGATTGTCACTTCTACGCCATCTGCATCAAGTGGCCCAGCTTCAAATACTAACATAAAGCGTAGCAAACCGCTTAAATATGCGTACGAGAAGGAGATTGTTCTCTATGCACACCATAAGAATCTTGATTATTTCAGCACAGAGTGTATCTATTCACCAGAGGCATTCAGGGGAAGTGCACGAGCCTTAATCAAGAACCTCGAGCGCGTGCGGCCAAGCGCTATTCTTGATGTTGTAAGGAGTGGAGAAGATATGGCTCGCTTAGTACCAGGAAGCGACGAAGGGTGTGCAGGAGCATGTTCCAATAAAGCAACTGTTGTCGAGGAAGAAGAGGGCGGATGTGGAAGCGCGAACGGAAGGACAATTGGTGGAGACATGGCAAAAATGGAACTGCAGCTATCGCAGAACGATGTAGCCACGGACAACAATCTTGAAATTGAAATCACAATGACAAGCGGCCAAAAGATCAAGCAACACAACCGCCACGATAGTGGCGCAGTACCTCTTGCGAATGGTAAGAAAGGGAAGAGAGGTATCACGCCACGAAAATCGAACAAACAAGTTATGGGCCAATGTAAAAAATGTGGATATCTATCAAGTCAAGAAGTTTGCAAGGCCTGTGTGCTACTAGAAGGTCTAAATAAGGCACGACCCAAAAACAAAATTGAAGTTGGCTACGACACAGAAGACTTACAGCAAAGGGATCAAGGCGCAGATGGCGTCGCGGCCGCTCTGCAACGAACAAGCATTGGTGGAGACTGATGACGAAGACATTAATCCGCCACTTCGCCGCAGCGCACATGCGACCGTCACGATCATAGACAGGCCAGAAGGGCTTTAGAAAAGGCCATGGTCTGCGACATTATGTTCGCTAACATGCTCATACCGAAACCTCACCTGCTGTTAAGACAGGGGTGCATGGCACGTGTGAGTCGCGAACCAACGTGACCCTAGGCGTAATCAAGTACGAGCAACGTCTCGGTCGCAATATCACGATACCATTCGAACACGCATGAATACTATACCTGTTGCCTTGTAGCTGTTGTTACGGACAAATATGCGCCATCGTGGAAGAATTCGCGAGTACTCTAACAAAGGCAGGTCTGGGTATGACGCAGTTCGTGCCTGGAAGTGCCGATTCGTGTGGAACACTTAAGGGTATGGTAATTAATAAGCTAGTTTATACCACTTTGTGATTGAGTGCGCATTTCTCTAGTTGTCTGGGGATTTCTCCATCACTCAAAATGCAAACATAATAATTGAATCTCCTCTTGATGAAATCCGAAAGTATTTACTGAGTTGCATTAAATCAAAGTAAATATCTCAAAGGATACACCACGTTTCTTTAGAGGATCATACTAGATTCGCGGAGCTATGGTCAACAACTATCTTTCAAATAATTCTTGTAAGCCTATAGTACACTGAAGGTGCGTCATCGCTCACGTTATTGAATTCATATTTCCCAACATCAACAGGTGGAACACTTGAACAACATTGGGTGGCCTCGAGCGAACAGTCCTGCTACATGATGTACCTATACGCATCAGAGATGTTGGCCCGAACGACCCCGTGGGAGTGATTGCATCTTCCATCGCGAATGATGAGCAGGTAGTGTTGTTAAGTCGCCAGCGATTGTATATATGGCATGCCTTTGAGAATCTCGGCAATCTACTTAATGGAAGAAAGCTACATATTGTCATACTATTTAGTAAAAGTATTTTCTGTGTATAACGACACGGAGATGCTAGGTTAGATATCGTCAGCAGACATTATGCACCGCATACCCTTTCTGTGCCAATTGGTTGTGAAATGTGTAGACTACAACGCGGATTTTGGGTTCAAATTGTTGGATGATATAGTACAGGAAATTGTCACTAATACTAGCAAAAAAGAGAGAATAGGCCCCTTTGCTGGGGCTATAAACTCATGTCACGATAACGAAGAGCCAATTTAAGCTCAGGCTCGTTCCAACATGAATCAAATGGTACTAGATTGCCTTGCCAACTAAAATCCCATTGTACTGCCCCTCAGTGCAGACGAGGGAAAGTAGAGGTTTAGTGAGCAGCGTTCATAGGTAAGCCTGACACTTTCACTCAATTATCTCAGCTATCTCGCAGTCGCGGTGAGCAGCCGTCGTCATCTTAAACTACTGCCGATAACTTGCCCTATTTCGGCTACAAACTACTACAGGTTATATTCAGTTTTACTTATTTTTAACTCTTAAATACCTCACGATAGGCATATATATATATTTATAACTAAGCATCGAAAAATTGTAGTTGAAGAGTAGACTCTAACGCTAGCTATGTTGGAAGTGCCGCGCGACAGAATTACGAATGCCTCTCTAATTCGGAGCAAAAAGAGACGCATTGTCTTCGAATATCCAAGCAAAAAACTATCCCCGACTCGGCCAGTCTTCATTCGCCCTCCCACAGCCACCCACAACCACAACACCAGGCAAAAAGATCCTATTTCCGACACCGGGAATTGAACCCGGGCCTTGTCGGCACTGCAATGAGAGCGACAAATCCTAGCCACTAGACCATATCGGATGAATATTGGTTACTTCGATGCAAGGTATGAAGTTTAAATAGCTTATATTGATACAATTTGTTCATCACTGAATTAGATCCTCTCCATGTTCTTATAATCAGGTCTAGAGAACATATTTTCAAGGCTGCGGTATCACGGTGTGGATTGCGATACAATTTCTGCACTTGGGTGGGGCCAGTGGCCGATCATGCATAAACGCCACCTGGATTTTATCGAAGCAGCGCTGATAAGCTCAGAGCAACATTATTTCGCTTATGGATTTCATTTGTTTTCCCATATGATCACATGGTGTTTGCCAGGGCAATAGGTTCAGCTTCAATGGTTGGGAAGCTTATGCATTCTACAACCTCTTCTCGTCTATGTTATACAAGGTTCTGCTTTCTACAATAGTTAGAATACCTTGTATTAACGGCCCCATACTAAAACAACATCGTAGAATAAATTTATTTAAATGAATATGGCTCGTTCCTCGACGCGCGATGATTCGACCGATGTCGCTGGCGTTACCACCCCGCCAAATAAAACATTTCCCGCTAACACCCTGATCAACTCGCGACTTGACTCACCATTCCGTTCAAGCACCATAACTACATCATAATGGCTTCAAGAAAGTTTCCCTTTGATCTGCAGAAATGCGCGCGACACAATATATTAGCATTGGAGCCATACCGCTGTGCTCGCGAGTAGGTGAAGCACAAGATTCCTATCCAAGTCGCTAGGCTAATACTAGAAAGTGACTACAAGGACGATGGGACAAATGTTTTACTTGATGCAAACGAGAATGCATACGGCCCTGGCTTAGCCCTCGGTGGTGATGGCAAGCTGTCTGGTGCGAATACCAATAGCACATCCGACTCAACACCGTCAGTCGATGTAGATCTACTTGGATTAAACCGATACCCAGATCCGTACGAATGCATTTCACCTAAATACTCTATATCCAATTATGCTAACACTATCTAGCCATCAGATAGACCTCAAACAACAACTATGTACTCTCCGCAATACCCACGCGCATACTCCCAAAACCCTTAGCCCAGATCACCTCTTCGTCGGCGTCGGTTCTGACGAAGCTATCGACGCTCTCATCCGCGCCTTCTGTATCCCAGGGCGCGAGAAGATCCTCGTATGCCCACCTACATACGGCATGTATAGCGTGTCTGCACAAGTCAACGATGTATCACTCGTGAAAGTCCCTCTCCAGCTCCCAAGTTTCGACCTCGATGTTCCAGCGATACTGGACGCCCTATCCAACGACTCGAGCATAAAACTTGCGTATCTTTGTTCGCCAGGAAACCCAACGGGCGCACTGTTAAAGAAGGAGGGTGTTCAGCGAATACTAGAGCACAAGACATGGAACGGCGTGGTTGTAGTGGACGAAGCATACATTGACTTTGCACCCAAAGACGCGAGTCTCGCAGAATGGGTGACAGAATGGCCAAATCTTGTGGTAATGCAAACGCTATCAAAAGCATTTGGCCTAGCGGGCATACGGTTGGGTGCCGCATTCGCTGACCCAGCGGTTGCAAAGATCCTGAACAACATGAAGGCACCATACAACATTCCTAATCCGACAAGTCAACTGGCCCGCGCAGCACTGAGCTCAAAACATATAGATGTAATGAAAAAGAACGTGGATTTAATAGTCAAGCAAAGAGAACGGCTACTGCAGGAGTTGCCGAAGATACCAGGAGTTGGCAAGTTGCATGGAGGCACCGAATCGAACTTCCTACTTTACCAGATGCTCGATGGGTCAGCAGATCAAGGTGGAAAGCCATCAAATGAGGTGGCGTTAGCGGTATATGAAGGCCTTGCGGAACAAAAAGGTGTTGTGGTACGGTTTAGAGGAAAAGAGTATGGTTGTTTAGGGTGCCTGAGGATAACAGTGGGTACGGAGAAAGAGGTGGATCGGTTCTTGCAGGAGATAAGAACTGTGCTGGATAGCGTTTTGAAACGTCAAGGTCATCTAGGTGCAGAGGAGGAGCAGCGAAGAGAGAATGAAACAAGCGCTGTGGTTACGTGAAATGGTATGAAGTGAACAGCTTTGTGTACATATTTCTTAGAATAAAGATAGACCAGGAACCCTAGATAGCAGTGTTTGCATCATCACTACAAGAAAGTATAGAAGTAGTCCCCACGCAATCAGGAGTATTTAGTATAATTGAACACGTACATTAAGCCAGGGCACCCATCGGATCCCAAAGCTCCAACATCTTCGGCTTCTGCTCCAGCACCTTCTTGATCGTTGAGCTGACTACACTTGGATCCACCACAGCTTGGTACACAAACTCATCCATCCAGGCATCAGACATGACAAAATATCCCTTCTCGCCGACACGATCACTCCACGAGTTCTCAACTCTCCACCTCACAGGCTTGCCATCAACGACATGTACAGCGGTAAGCACCATGGCATGTGTCATTTGAGATTCACCAGTCTGTAGCCGTTCTGCTTTGGACAAACCAAGCTTGATATTGAAGCCCAGCTCATACTCGAAGAGGTTTGTATCCATTATGCCCTTTGTTGAGTCGGAATACTTGCCCACATCCGAGCCGAAGAACACTGGGATGCCGCGCTTGAGCATGGCGATACAGGCGTCTTTGATTGTCTTCATATCAACATTGACGTATGTGACGGGTCGGCCTCCGTAGACGTTTCCGAGGTACTTTACACTAAGTAGCCTGTTGTATGGGTTTCGGGGGTCATTAACTAGGGAAAAGAGTTGGTGGATGTCGGTTCCTGAAAGCGCGCGAACAGTCTTGCTGTCGGAGAGCTCCTTCGCAAAAGCTGTGGGACGAGTGCGAAGAGTACATAGGGTACCGTCCCTGTCATAGTATTCCCAGTTAAAGGCTGTATGTGGTGATGGGGGTGGTCCTAACATGAGAGTTAGGATCAAATGAATTTCCTTGAGCATTTTTTCTTTCTCGCTAGCTATTGTGGACTTGATGGCATCCGGAGATGCAGTGCTAGATGCAATCGACCGCAGACGGATAGCGTCTTCACGAAGTTTTGTTGTGATTAGTCGGTCCATGGTCGAGGAGTTTGTGGCGTTGAATGAATCTGGGTACAACGAATGAGGGACGAGACCATATTTGTTAACAAGATTTGCAACCATATCTAAGGTTCCTAGTCAGCGTGTCGTCTTGTGTTGATGAACGAAGGCGTATATCTTACCCCATTGTCCACCATCACCAACTGGACTTGCCATGAGTTCTTGAATAAGGCGACCATCAATCTCTTCGGAAGCAGTGTCTAGTATAGTTTCCAAGAAGAAGTTTGCCTTTTCAATTTTATCCCAGTAGAACAGATATGACTGCGACAGTTCAAATTCGGAGAGTTTGTACTTCTTCATAAGTGCAACACGGAAGACATTTGTTGAAGCGAAAAGCCAGCACCTCCCAGAAGATGCCTGGTTGGTGATAGGTGAGCCCTCCAGTGGTATTTTGATGTTGAACTTTTGAGTGTCGGCGATAATGGCTGATCGAGAGGATAGAACGGCGTTGGCAGAGTTTGAGCTTAGGGCTGCTAAAGCAAGACGATTCTTTGGTAGTCAGTCGATATGTCCTGAAGCAATATTTTTTATCATCATACCTTAGGGTCTCCCATAAGCTGCTCCTCCCATTCTCCAATAGCCGTGACAGAAATGTCCTGCCGATGTCTGCCACCTGGCGTATACTTCGGTGCTGTGAGGGCATCAGGTTTTCATGACCAATTATATAACTACGGTCAAATACCTACGAGCTTCACCACCAACTACGATATAGCCGTCCTTCTCATTTGTGCTTCGTTCGTCCTTCATTTGAAGAGCTTGGAGGCGCTCCATCAATTTCTCGTTAATCGCTGCATCAGCTGGTCTTGACTGGTTGGCTCCCATGTTCACGATAGTATAAGTCACGATTCACAAGGCGATGTCAAGTAGTTCTTCAACGTGGCAGGAGAGTTAAGGAGCTGAAGGTTGGCCATCAGGGTATTGGCGCTTATCTTATCTTCGGCAAGCTTCGTCGCGTGCAAGGGCCCCGTGCCAACCCCACTCGTATTAGATGGTTTGGCGCGAGGCTAGGAACAGCATAGTATGGTAATCTCTCGTCTATTATCTGTTTTATACACGCAAAACTATCACCTCTGTTGCATTACTTCCTGATGCTAGGCGTCCTTCAAGTACCCACGTGGCGAGGAGAAATTATCCTGGATAACACGATGATCTTATTACAATTCCAATCGTCACGGTCACTCCACAGAGTCTTCAGCCTACAAATCCAGCGACTCTGTCCAGGACGAGGATAATGAAAGGCTTCCTGGAAGTAGTTTGTATGGCAGACCCTGAAAGGTAGCATCAACAGCATCAAAGAATACACGACATTTCACCGTCCGTATGCGTTTCCAAGAATGTCCGGCAACTTTGCTTATTTGAAACAGCATGCATTGACTGTCTATGCCACTATGCCTATCATTGAAATCTTTCAATGCCCATCCCTTCATAAGTATTCGTAAATTTCTACCAAGCGCCAATACTCCACTTCCCAAAGACCTCACCAACATTCCAGAGGAGTAAGTATTCTCTTGTGGCTTACATCTACTCAACACTTCATAGAACTGTACCGAAACCGAACGTTGTCTTTATAGAGCGAACGTAGTACTGGTCCCAGTTTGTTTTGGTTGGCTCTTCTTGACCAACAGGAACGCCTTTCCACTCCACCCTCATCACGGTCACAGCATCAATATCGTTCTGATCGAACCAGATGGAAAGTGTCGAGTAATGTCCAGCGGGCCATTGGGCAAGCCGCCATTTCTGGACGATGTGCGTTGGCTCTTCTAGTTCAGTATACTCTCCACTAACGTTACCACCAAATAACTCAAAAGTACCTCCAGGCTTGGCGCCAGTGAAGTTTATTGGTGGTGAACGTGTGAAGGCAGCAATACGCTGAGGGTCAGTGAAGGTTTGAAAGAGGTTTGCCGCATCAGTGCGGAACTCGGTGCTGTCGTTGATTGTTGTCACAT